GGCACCGAAGAAATTTGTTCTCATCAGCAGTGCGAAGTGTAAGCCGTAGGAGAACCTGAAGTAGAACTTGAATCATAGGCGTTTCTCCTTCCCGGGTGGAAGAACAGGCTAACTACACGTCTTAATTCTGCATTGTGCGTAGAACTTCTTTTGCGTTCAGTAATCTCACGAGGACCTGTCACTTAGAGACTAGAAACAAAGAGAAAGTTACGGGGGGGGGGGGGGGGGGGATCGAAAGACACGTATTTCTAAGGGGGCTTCTGATAAGGATAGAGTATAATGAGAGTGAAGAAAATATTTAAGAATTGAGTCCGTACCGCGAAGAAAGCACTAAACTTCACCATTACTAAGGTCAACTGGTTGACGCTGTTTAAGGAAATAATCGCTGTTTATACTGAGACTCATAGTTCGTCTGATTAATATTTAAGAATTGAGTCCGTACCGCTAAGAAAACACAACACTTCACCATTACAAAGATTAACTGGTTAACGCTGTTTAAGGAAATAATCGCTGTTAACATCGAGAATCATAGTTTGTCTAAACAAAATTTAAGAATTCAGTCCGTACCGCGAAGAAAACACGACACTTCACAATTACGAAAATCAACTGGTTAACGCTGTTTAATGAAATAATCGATGTTTACACTGAGAATCATACGAGACACATAAATACACTCTGTGATTAAAGTGCATTGTTACTAAATGTTATATCAGGTGGTAGATATAGTTACCACAGTGCCTGAAGTGGTTATGGATGCGGAAATGTAATTTAACAACCAGAGGACTTGTGAAGGTGAGCTTTATGTCCTTGTTACACGATTTTATGCCGGCTCGTTGCATTAGTGGCGTAAGGCACGAACGTTCAGTGGCCATACCAACCACGGCCTTGTAATCTTCGAACACGGAATTATATTTATCTGCGCAAAGGCTGGATAGTGTTAATAAGTTAAGTAAACTTTCTAAGCCGTAAAAATGTGAGTGCCCGTCTTAATATTCAAAAGTGGAAACGTTTTTCGTACTGGTGCCTTATTGTAAAAAGAAGTTAACGTTTTGATAGACTGCTTTTCATGTTGAGTTTGCTTAAAGTCTGTGTACACTTGACTTACAGTTCAAGAAACGGGATTTACTCTGTTGGTTTCGGGTTTCAAAAAAAGCGTGCTGTTTTAATGTTTGCTACGTCAGTGACTTTGATGGTCGATGGACACGAACTTTTGTTATGAACCTGATCACACGCCTAGCTCAAGCCACGGCAGAATTTTCTTTGCAATTCCTTTGTAATTTCTGTTTACGGTGTTGAAAAGAATTTCAAAATAGAATTTGTAGATTTTTATTCGAGAATTCTCTGGAGTCTTACTAGAATGCGCGTGCATTATAATTTTTGTTTTCCCACCAACTAATAAATCCGCCAAATTGTTTTGGATGCGAATTTTGCCGATTTGCGATAATTGGGGTCTGCCGACCGCCTCTAACCAACTTGCGGGTCTCTTTATACAAATGCCCATAAAATTTTCGGCACCAGGATGAGGAAACCCACCTCATTCGGGACGGATTGCCGAAGGAATAGACGATATGATGAAATTTTTTGAATGAACATAATTTAATACAAGCTTATCGCTTATGTTACCGACCATTCTGAAGTAAGTGAGTGTTCCTGTGGTTTTGTCCCCCGCCCCCCACTTAGATTTTTGGATTAAATATACGGATGTTTCGATGCTACTTTGATGATTGTGCATTGAAACGAATCTGATGGTTGTTGATATGAGGTTCCGGGAATCTAGAGGCAGCTCCCAGACCACTGAGATTACAGAGGGGAGGGGGGCAAGAATAAGCAATTTTAGAGCAATCTGAATCACACGCAGGAGATCAAAATGAGATGGAAATTTATATAAAATATCCGCGTGATCTGTTGTGGACTGCGCGTTCTGCATTATGCAGATCTCTCAAAATTTACCGGGCGTGATTTTTACCTCCCGCTTCTCCTAACCCACATTTAACCTTCTGCTCGGTACGACCGTGTATTTACGTTGTGCACGAAGTGGAGATAAATACAAGTTACACGTAACAACACGCGTGTATGATAAGGCCTGCGTGTGTACGTATTTGCGCAAGGATTTAATATTCGCTCTGGGTTTTGGAGTGTATCTGTGTCTTTACTTATCTGTGGACTGTTCGTTTGGATTATTTGATGACGCTGTTTCAGCTGCAGAGACTACCTACATTATGTCTATTAGGGTGTGAAAGTTATAGTGAACGGTTAATAGGCAGTCTATCGATATGAAATCAGTCTTGTGTCAGTACGCTGTGCACTTGTAGCTGAAGATGTCTCTCTTCTGGGACGTTGCCCCCGTGTAGTCTGTAGTAAGGACCTCTGAAACGTCGGTCAGTTTCCACCAGACTACAAGGCGTCTTCACGCATCTTAGACGTCTTCAGTTCTTCGTCACCCCGTTTAGAAATTAACGTGGATCGGAAAGGCATGTGCGACGTGTGGAAACGAGGGAGCCAGAAGTCGACGGGGAAGTCTGAAGTCTGAAAGGATGCTGAGGAGAGATTTGTGCGTCCTGCGAACTGAGGCGGCAGATGACGGTGAAACACATTAACTTGGGATGAATGTGTGCATGTGTGACTGGGGTCGGTGGTGAGACGATTTAATACGCAAGAAAAGGATTTGTAATCATAAAGAAATTATCGTCTTTCGGGCCGGAACCGATTTTTCTTTTAGATTCTCAGATTTTTTTTAGTATGGCGAAACTTTGAACACGTGAACAAAACGGAATTGATTGTTCGAACGTAATGACGGAATTAATCTAATCTGTAAGAGATTCGATTTCCAATGCAAATTAAAGCGACTTATGCGCTATCCTTATAAAGGCTTCAGTTTTTAACTTCAATATGTCTATAATTTGCTTGCAGTTTCTTAATAGCAAACTGTAAATAATGACGAAGGAAAGTAATTTGTTCTGACGATTACTTTTATGGAAGAGGCTTGCGCGTGGTACGTGAGAGAAATGGAGTAGTTACAAGGACTTTGTAACTGATAGCAAACGTCTAAACTTAACTAACCTTAATGATAATTGTCTTATTTTATTAACGAGCTTAAACGACGGTTCTCTGAAAGTCGTTACGTTAATCAGAGCAATGGCTGTCACGGTAATGGCGCACGTGATGTCTGCTCTGCAGCCTGGAGCGCGCACAGCGTTTCTCACGTGTTTGCGTCTCCGGCCGCCTTTACGTTCGTCATGTGTTAGGGACGGAAATTTACTCTCTCGACAGACGCAGCCAGCAGGCCCTCATAACTTTCCGGAAGATCCATTTTAATATTAGCCTCCCATGTACTACTCTGTCTTCCGCGTTGTCTCCTTCCTTCAGCCTTTCCAGCCAACGTTTTGAACTCATTTCTTTCCTCTACGCAAGCTGTATGCTCAACCCATCTCATTCACCTTGATTTGGTATTTCTAATTATTTCTGAGGAACAGTACAAAGTGCGGTTGTTCTCATGACCGTGCTAGAAGCAGAAATCTTTCCAATATGAGTCAAGAAACAATCGAGTCTCTCTGCTCCTGAGGGGGCGATGGATTCGCCTTTTCCTGGTAACCAGGAACTTGCTCAGGGTGTGCCCCGAGCTGGTCGCCTCTCTGCCCGCTTAATTCCGGTGCGTGGGTGTTATTCGCGGTTGCTATTTCGGGACGTCAGAAATAAGGCCACTGAATCAGGTCGCCTGCACCGAGCGCAGATATTGGACGCACGGTGTGCGGATCAAGTCTGTCTTTGCCCTCTCATATATTCGACTGAGAAACTCAAGAACAAATGTCGATCGAATTTAGTGTTTACAGGTCGACACCAAAGTCTGAAGAATTCTTTTAATTTTTGTTCGAATCGGTTCAACAAAGGGCAAACATTAAAACTTACCAGTGGAGAAGGTCCTTAGAAATCAAACCCTTACCCCATACTTTATAATTTTCGTCACTTTATGCCCGTCTTTCGTCCTCGTTAATTTTAACCCTTTCAACTTGGCAGACTACGATTAATATAATCTGTGCTCGCTACTAAGTTATTTCATCTTTTTCGTCACCTGCTTTAGAAGGAATTCGTAGAGCTTCTGGTACGAGACTTGTGACGAAGTTTTCTGCTCCTGGACTTTGCTACTCACTCACATGCAACAAACGATCCAGACGAATGACGAATATCGACTGCAGCGCTGAGGTTTCCACGGTGTTCCATTCTGTCACTACTCATTCACGTGAGACGAACGATGTGAGATTAGGCAGTGTGTGAGGAGCGCGTCCTAGGCCTATAGTGTTACTGCAGCCTACCGGCCCCCAATTATTATTACCCTACAGTGGATTGGGGTGGCATCTTCGGGTGCTTGTGCACCCAATCAACTTGGCGTTGAAAGAGACGCTCGTTTGTGTGTCAAGAACGTTCTGAAACAATCCCACTGGTGCATGCCCTGCCTCCTCAGATTAAGGCCCTTCATGAGAAACTGATAGTCGCTGAGCTGGTAAGGAAACCTCATGAACCAGAAAGTTCAATGTCGTGTTTACAAGATCCGCCTCTGGCCCCTGTCCTGAGCTCGTTTCCCACCAAACCCAATTCACCCGAGACTACTTTTTAATATTATGCTTCCGTCTGCGCCTCGGTCCTCTGAGTTGTCCTTTTCTCTTCAGGGTCTCCAAACGAACCTGTGAGCGAATTTCTTATCTCTCCCATGCGTGCTGAATGCCCCGCCATCGTCTGCGTCACACGGGGCGTTTCTCCGACGCGTTCTCGACCAAACGTGGCAAAATGCGCCTGCCGACTCGGGACATGGTTTTAATTTAATGTGCATCTGGGAGTTTTTCACGCCCCGGTTTTGGTCAAAGTCAGACAACATTAACGCCCGCCTTTCTGTTTGCGAAAGTTACCGGTTGGGGAATCCCCATGTGGGGAATCCCCTATATGACTTCATTGCGGCTTTGCCGCGCTGTGGGTTCTTTTTTCCCAACCTTTTCTTGTTGTTGCAGGCCTGTGCTCCCCGTTACGTCTGGTTTTCCCAGACTCTGAGCAGGAGAGATCCCGTGGGAACGTGCTACGTTGCCCGAAATTCCTTCAGGGAATATTCCGAGTATTCTCCCTGCAGAACACGTGAGTAGCCGATTTCAGACATTCTGTATTCAAATGATTCGTGGGAGGGGCTGTCCGTCGCCATGACTGTTTCTGGTTGATTTCGGCGATGTGAGAGACATCTAACCCGGAGGGGGGGGGGGCTTTGGGTCCATGATTTTGTTTGTAGTACAAGCAGTGATTTATTTGAATTTACTATACGACTAAAGGTTTTTTAATGAATTTTTGTTTTTATTTGTGTTAATAAATGGCATTTTTGGGAAAAGTTAGCGCAGTTGTGCACTTAGAGTGGCCAGGTGTTCTTGTAAAGTACGTCCACAAACATTTCATATCTTTTGCATGTAGCTGGCCAAAGTCACCTGCCCTGCCAACAGAAATGGATCTTCATTTCTCGCTATTTCTTAAAATATATTTTGTCAACCGCTACTTTTTAGTTCCTGATTCTCAAAGTAGGTGGTGTGCATAATTACACAACAGAGGGTTGTTTCTAACCCCTGCCGAGTACTGGGGGTTACAAAGTGCAGGATGATGAGATGTGGGTGTTAGTTATATCGGGGGAAACACGAAATGCATACATACATTTTGTTGTAAAAGCTTAGAAAAGTTTTTTTTTTTCGAAAAATTTGTCTCAGTGTGAGTGTGATCATGAAAACGAATTGGAGAGAAATCGGTAATCAGTAAAAGGATTGGATTAAGCTGACTGAAGATGGGGTATATTGTTGAGCTTTGAGTCTGAGCTGTGTGAATTACCACGTACAGTAACAAAAATGAATTTCTTGACTAGTTCAAGGAATTTTGTGTTATGAAATTGGCGGATCATAAATTTGCGTCATGCACGAGACGCGAAAAGTTAACGACGGCTTGTGTACCATGTTGTGGTATATCAAGAATATGCATAGCTGCTGAATGATGATGTGACGTCATTGTAATTCTTATTTTAGGCTTGGCCAGGACTGGGTACGTTCATGTTTATATTATGCTCTCAGCGCCAGAGGAAAGCTGTAGCTTCTTGGATGTTTATGTTAGTTTTTGGTCGCTGACATCAATTCTAAAACTGCACGGGTGTTACAGCAACGTAGGGAGTAAGTGTGTGGATGTCGAGAAGAATGCTTTCACATCTCAGGTTAGCTCTTTGAAGCTCGTCTGAATTTTATCTAAAAATTTCGTTCTTAACGCGAAGGAAACTCGAATCATCTCCATGACGACGATCAGCTCATTGAAACTATTCAGGGAAACGGTCGCTGTTTGTTCTGAGAAAGCCATCGACGCCTTCCGTGAGAGAAATTAAGGTTTATTGAATATCAAGGCAGGTGGTACGTAAAGTTACCACTGTGATTAAAAAGATAATTTCGACTCAGGATCGTGGTAATGGTTTTAAAACTTTCGTTTATTATTGTCGGGATTTATCTTTTTTTACGACGCCTTGACAACGGACAACCAAGCGGCGAAATTATTAATTTATGGTTCTGTATGTTCCCACCACCGCTACGGTGGTCTAGCGGTCAGAACACTAGCCTTGTAAGCCTCGGGTCCCGGGTTCAATTCCCGGTGGTGCTCAAATTTATAACTTGTGTTGGGCAAGGCCGTGGTCTAGACATCACGGAGTTTTCCTCCGGGGGCTTCCCCGGTTTCTCCGTGGCATCCCAACAGTTACTCCATTCATACACAGAAGAAGGCAATGGCAAACCACTTCTGGATCATCTGCCAAGAACGTATATGAACAGGTCCCAGTCCGAGAAAAGGATGGAAGGATCCTGTTCATATGGACCTGTCGTCAGACAGAACACTACAAATAAAAAAAATGTTCCCACCGCAGGGGTCGTACGTTTTTTGAAGAATTTCTTGTTCTATTATAATCTGATTTTTCGAACTCGTATTGAATTCATATGGCTGTGGTAGTGTAATTTCACACGTGTTCACGAACAACAAGAAACTTGAGAGAAATACAGAGTATTGCTTTGTTTGCCCACGAGTAATGTATACTAATGTGGACGTACGTCGTTTTCGCACCGAACGTTTCTGGTCGCCTCAGCAGTTACAGAAAAGGAGGCACGGAAAGGAGACCTGAAAGCAGGCAAAGGAATAACCCCACGGGTCTAATATTAGACCCGGAAACACAACTACAAGATGTCAGGGAGGAGGGAAAAATTCTCCCTTCAATTTCAGTACGGAAAGGTTAAGAAGGGGAAGGTGTTAGTTACAGAAAACAGCAGACTGGCGCTCTGGCGTGTGAAGTTTGTATCTGGGTCCCTCAACGTAACCAAACACACGAATATTTAAATCGACTGTTTTTTTCTTCAGTTGTAAACACATCACGTGATACCAAAGGAACTACATCTGGGCGAAACAAAGCGAGCGACTTCCCCAGAGAACTCGTCTGTTAATGTCTTCATCACTTACGTCTTGAACGGATGATAAATACAAGATGACTGACTGTCTTGTGGGTTGTAGCGCCGTGTAGTGTTACTCGTCGCCCTGATGATGGAGGCTGCAAGGACCTCTGAAACGCTGGTAAATTTATACCAGACTACGCGGAGCTGCAACCCAGAAGACTGCCATCTTCGGACTCACAGCCGTAGAACGTCAAATCTTACTAAACATGAAATTCACTTTAGGCTTCTGGATTATCACATAAAATTATTCATTGTCAGGACTTTTTCCATCGTCTTTAAAATCACGACATTTCGGAGGCTTCTTCTGTCTCCTTCTTCAGGTGAGTGGTACCTACTCTGTTGGGTCCCTTAGATAGAGCTAGTCTCTGTCACTGGTCCAGCTCTATCTAAGGGACCGAACAGAGTAGGTACCCCTCACCTGAAGAAGGAGACAGAACCAGCCTCCGAAACGTCGTGATTTTAAAGACGATGGAAAAAGTTCTGACAATGAATAATTTTTAGTGTAAACTACCGTCGTCAAAAACCTTTAGAATTTGATTATCACAGCTTACGAGCTCTTAGTATTACTGGTATATACCACGTATGGGTAAGAAACATTATCGCTGACATTAAGCGAAGATCACAGAATGACGTTGTTATTTCGAGAACAGGGTATACTGATGAAAATATCTGCACTTCAGAAGGATGAAGTGACAGGCGAGTGGAGGATCTCCATGATTTATATTTCACCAAATTATTAGGACCATCAAATGAAGGAGGGTGAGGTGGCGGACATGTAGCACGCGTGGGATAAGAATTGCGTACTACATTTTAGTCGAAAAATCTGACGGAAAGAAACCCCTTTGTAGACTTAGTAGTAGATGGGAGAATAACAACACGCCCAGAAGAAATTTGACGCGGAAATGTTAACTGGATTAATCTGGCTCAGAATAGAGTCCACTGGCGGATACAGTAATGAATCCTTGGGTGCCAGTAAAGTGGAGAATCTCTTGACCATGTGAGCGACTGTCAGCTTCTCAAGAAGTGGATTGCCGCTTGCTGCTAGTTGGGAAGACCACTCGCGTTGTGAAAGGCTGCCATGTTTCCATGTGAGCTGTCTTTTCCCCCTATTAATTTTTAGGGTTCGGAAAATGTTTCTCGTGTTACTGTCTCCAGATGGCTCTGCTTTGTTCCTCTTCCTGTCCGTACGCATTCAGGGTTTTATGACCAAAGGTCAGAAAAAGATGAGGTCGTCAGCTGAAGCCCCCGTAAAACGACCGCCCCGTCCAATTTCACGGGCTGACTCTGGTTCCTCAGGGGCGGATGTCTGTACTTCGGCTCCTCTTGAAACTCTGCACACGTGACCAGCCTTCTGGTTCGTCTGGCCTATTCCTATTTAAAATTAATTATGACAATATCCAGTTCTTGCAGTTGAGACACCCCAAGATGCGGGATCGGCCCTTGTGTCAGGTTTCTGCCGACGGAGAACAACAGATGCACCCACCATTCGGGTTTAAATCAAACACTTACGTTTTTTCCGAGGTCCTGCGCATCATTGGCAGGTCCTGCAGCATGCATGAGAGAAATGGCAAATGCGTGAACGTTTTCGGTTGGAAAACCTGAAGGAAAGAGACCATTTGGTAGACCTAGGCGTAGATGGGATGATAATATTAAAATGTAACTTTAGGAAATATCATGGGAGGGGTATGTGGAGTGGATTTATCTGGTTCGGGTACAGAACAGTTCCACAAGAGACGGGTTTTTACTGCACTTGTCTTCGTTAAAAAATAAGGTTGACATTCTGCACTACGTCGTGAATGCGTATTGCAGTGTGAAATCAAATGTCCACAGATTGTAAATATCGCACCGGATGATGGCAGTGAGTTTTTCGGCTCTCTTTTGGGGGTCTGGTGTCCCACAGGGCGGGTTTGGACACGGCAGGCTGCGTGGAATCATCAAAAACAATCTTCCGGTCGTCGACAGATCATTTCACAGCCCCTCGTGTTACAAGCGTCGCTGGTTTCAAAGGAAGGGACAGAGATCCGTCGACATAAATCTGGCGCGGACTTCGAGATTGTGTAGGGATGCCGATAACCCTGCTGTGCTGGCGTCCTCCTCAGCTTCCACAAGAGACCGGAAATTACACCCCCCCCTTCCTCACCCCACTAATAGCTCCTGACTTGGCTACCGACCGCGCTGCAAGGCCAGACAGCGGTCCCCTGTGCTCGTAGCCTACACTGCGCAGCACGTGCACCGCTGAATAGCATCTCAGCATCTCCAATCCGTTTGTCACAGATAAAACTATGATTTTTGCTTGTTCCACTGCGTGGGTGTCAAAACGTCGCATCTCGCTATGAAGGCTATTTATTTTGGATTTTTAAAAATATTAGATTTTATTTAATTTTGTGTGATTTTTTAGCAAAATTTTGAAAAAAATTGAAATTTTTATACAGCGCTTGGGAGTGACAGCTACTACTATTATTAATTAACTAAGTAATTATTTTGTCGTTTATCGGAACTGTAACAGCACCTGAATAATGATTTGCAAAACGTATAGAAGGAAGTGGTCGTGGCCTGATTTTATTATACCGGCAGTTTCGTGGAAGATTTGAGCTGAAAGTAGAAGGTGCGTAAGACATGGTGGCTGTCCACCGGGCCGACATTTGAACACAGGACCTCCCGAATAAGAAGCATGGTACTAACCACTCGGCCAAGACGTGCAGCGCCGATTCGTGATCAGATAATTTTAAGAAACGGGCGTCGGACTTAATTCT